TCTATCTATCTATCTATCTATCTATCTATCTATCTATCTATCTATCTCTGTCTATCTATCTATCTATCTGTCTGTCTGTCTGTCTGTCTGTCTGTCTGACTGTCTGTCTGTCTGTCTGTCTGTCTGTCTGTCTGTCTGTCGCATATGTGTACTTTATATCGTCAACATTTTATGGATAGAAATTGAAAGCAAATTTCCTTTCAACATTTGTATGCAGTAAAACCAAACAATATATAAATCTGTACAATATCTGTTACCAGTCACGTATTTACATGGTCTCTTATGAAAATATATTATTATGCAATTAATTTAGTATTTATTTATTTATTTAGTTAGAGATGTATTTACGTGTTATCTTACATGAAACATTCTTTATTTGTGTTTGTATGTATTATTTAATTACTCATGTACCTTTATAAAGCGGCCACACTATTGCATCAGACAATTTTAAACCCATAAATGACTACAGCTATGCACCTCTCTGAAAAAAATAAACACGCCTAAAAGGTATCATGAAAAGTCTTCATCTACTTTTCAAGGTACAGTTACTGGAAAGGGATAAATGTGTTCTTTGAAGTCCTGGATTTGTCCACTCATGCACCTTTTGTTCTGAGAGAGCACAATTATTGACTTAATACCTTGGCTTTGACCTTGACTGCAATTGCAGATAAAAACGTAACAGTAAGTGTATGAGAATAAATGTCTGCTGTTACATCCATCCTGTCTCACTCTTCCGCACTCTCTTAGACACTGAGAGAGAGAGAGAGACAGAGATTATGTCAAAACGACTGAATTAAACAGCTCTCTCCTGTCTGATGGATTACTTTCAATATGAATGGAAGCAGCAGTGCACCTGTAAGATAACCTGTATGGAGCAGTGACAGACACAGCGGGTGGAGTTCTTTCCGGGCCTTTATCTCATGCCAGAACACCATCATTCATGGATGTGCAGCATTCACAACTGAATTGAGAAGTCCTTTGAAATTCCGATTCAGCTCCTGAATTTTATTGAGGCAGCAAACTGGATGCAGAATTGTAATCCAAATTTGAATTTAACCCCTTTTTTTCCTGTATATACAATAAGGTGCTTTATTGGCATTGATTGATGGTTCTATGAACATCCATAGAACCTTTCCATTGCACAAAATGTTCTTTAGAGTGGAAAAAGGTTCTTTACATTATTATTTAAATATTCTTTACACTCAGAAAAAAATGGTTATGTTAAGAACTATTCACTAAAAGGTTTGGGGAACAAAAATGTTTCTTCTATGGCATCACTCCAAAGACTCCCTTTTGGAATCTTTATTTTTTTTGTGTAAAGTGTGAAAAAAAAAAAAGACAAAGAGCGAGTGTCATTGAAGTCTGTTTCCACCTGAGAATAAGAAATAAAAAAGTAATTGTGACATAATATGTATAATAATAATTATACAGTCACATTGTGTGATACTGGATACAAAGTAGTATTTGTAATATATAAAGTTAACGGCATATTGTGAAATATAAAGTCACAAATAGGAGAATTAAAAATTGTGTCATAATTGCGAAAAATAAAGTTAATGTGTGAGATTTAAAGTTGCAATTACCCTTTTTTAATATATATTTTTTAGACTACAATGGGCTTCCATACAGTGTTATTTTTTGTATGCATCACAGACAGGAAACTATTATCTGGCTACTGTTTTTTGTAATTAAATTTTGCTGAAATAATATGTTTATGCACACTTATTTACAGTTTCTGTAATTAATCAAAGCTTGCATTTATCCCTAAATAGGCACGTGTTACCTTTGGAAAATAATAAGCACACTGGTTTCGGTATAAACAAACTACACATCATTGCATGAGCAAATATTGCATTTTCATATGCAGCATTTCTTACATTTGCTGCTTGACTGCAGAGCTGAGGATAATTTACAGCATCCGTATCTTTAAACCTGAGGGCTATTACAGTCAGACAGTGTACTTCTAGCCCCCACAGACACATCAGCCCACAGCAGGAGTTACACACCATTACACGCATTAGCGGCTGTGATAAACACACTCCATCCTAACACAGCGCAGTGTGCTTCAGAATGCTTCACTTAGCACAGGTGGCCTTTATACTGCAACTTCAGCGGGCAGGGGACACCTGTAAATGCCCTGAAGGACCTCTTCATTTCTCAAGGCTGATTTAACTGTGCTAATTGGCTTTTGGCAGCAATACATATGCAGGGCAAAGAGTTTATTCCACCAGCAACTCAAACACAGTATAATAAGAATCGAACTAAATAAAATGCTAAGAAAACGCATAAAATCAAGATATAAAAGTTGAATTTGGGTGGCCATTTCTCTAACTCGAAAAAGGATGACACTTTGCAGGATTCAGTGAAGCCAGAATAAAAACCATAAAATAAAAACAATATGCATGAATTTCCTGAAGTGACCTGTCTTTATGAATTGGTCATTAAATAATTGACTCACCCAATATGAGCTCTGACTAACTTATTCTTACTAAAACACTGTTGAAACCTATATATTCTTAGAAGAAAAATATATATAACTTTTACTCACTTTTGCTGTCACTGGTTTTGGTTGCTTCAAAGTCAGGCCTGCAAACCCAATGTCACAAAATGTAACACAAAAAGTCATAAACTGTCTATACCTCCAAAACAGTATCTTTCTTAAAGGGGTCATATGATGCGATTTCAATTTTTCCTTTCTCTTTGGAGTGTTACAAGCTCTTGGTGCATAAAGAAGATCTGTAAAGTTGCAAAGACTAA